GCCAGATGCTCAATTAAGAGGTTAGCGATAAATTAATCGCTTTATTAAAAAAATACAAAGATTGTTTTGCTTGGAAATGTGAACATATGCCTGGTTTAGATAGAAATTTGGTAAAACATAGATTACCAACTAAGCCAAGTTTCAAACCTCAGAAACAACCCCCTGGGCATTTTGCTCCTAATGTACTTCCTGAGATAAAGAAAGAAATAAAGCGATTATTAAAAGCAGGCTTTATTATAACGCCCATATACGTTGAGTGGTTGTCCAATATTGGCTAGTACTAAAAAAGAATGGTAAGCTGAGGGTGTGCATAGACTTTAGAAACCTAAACATGGTCACACTGAAGATGGATATCCTATGCCTACAGTAGATTCTTTAGTACATTCAACTGCCGGACACGTAATATATTTCTTCATGGACGGGTATTCAAGGTATAATCAAATTTACATAGCTGAGGATGATATACACAAAACTTCCTTTAGATGTCCTGGATCTTTAGGATGCTTTGAATGGGTGGTTATGTCTTTCGATTTGAAAAATGCAGGAGCGAGATATTAAAGGGCGATAAACTTGATTTTTCACGATATGATAGGAAAGTTTGTTGAGGTGTATGTAGATGATATAGTGGTCAAATCTATTAAAGAAGAAGATCATTTTGAACAGTTGAGATGTTCATTTAAGTGAATAAGGCAGTATAAACTAAAATTGAATCATTTGAAATGTGCATTTGGTGTTAATGTAAGAAATTTCCTTGGTTTCCTAGTGCACAAAAGAGGGGTTGAACTTGACAAAAATAAAACGAAGGCCGTTGTAGAGGCCAGACCTCCTAGCAATAAGGATTACAAAGGTTTATAAGCCAAGTAAATTTTTTAAGACGCTTTATTTCTAATTATGCATGGCGAACTAAAGTTTTTAAAGTTGAAAAATAAAGACGAATTCGTCTAGAGGTAAGAGCATCAAAAGGCTTTCGAAAGCCTACAAACATATTTATCAAGTCCACCAGTGCTTGTGTCACCAATCCATGGACGGCCAATGAAAGTATATATATCGGCCGAACAAGAATCAATAGTTGGAATGGTCACACAATAAGACCAATTTGGAGAAGA